AGAGAGAGAGAGAGAGAGAGAGAGAGAGAGAGAGAGAGAGAGAGAGGAAGGAGAAGTAGGAAACACAAGAACCAAAGCAAATGAGGATCACATACGTTTGGAGGATGACTAAGTGCCAGAGCAATTAAGAAGACTGTAACCGGGACAAGATGGAGTTAAGCCTTCGACGAGCCAGAATGGAATGGCTGAAGAGAAGAGATGGCAAGGCAATCGCGGGCGAAGAGACGGCGGCGCAAATTGCCTCGCCCTCGTCACATGGCGGAAAGCGCCTCCCTCTCTCTCTCTCACACACACACACACACACACTGTGTGTGTGTGTGTGTGTGTGTGTGTGTGTGTGTGTGTGTGTCGCCTTGTGGTGTTGTGTTGTGAAAGTGGCACATGCATCTGGTCAAGATCACAGCCGGGTGCACTGAAAATAGACGGAAAAAAAAGCGACACGCCCGATGAACTGAAGAAGAGAGAGGTTGACAAACCGAGAGGGAACGGGCGCGACAGTCAGGGAACGGGTGCGCCCGACACCGTTTCGATTTCTCTACCAAAGGGTCTGCGTCCACGACGTTTCAGTTCGAAAATCAAGGCCCTAATGCCACGGGCAGCTACCGGTCCTGCGCTTGCTTGAACTGCCGCCCCCCCCTAAATGCCTGTGCCTTTCATTTTTTCAGCCTTTCAACGACCAATGGGACCGAATGAACGACCGGTATAACGAAGGAAAGGACGACGACGAAAAAAAAATGTCTAAATGTCTCAGGGGCATAAAATGCACCCCTGACGGGCTGCGAACTACCGCACCTTTTGGCGACGATGACGAAAATGTCTCAGGGGCATAAAACGCAACCCTGACGGGCTGCGAACATTTGATGGACAGATTGACTTACCGTGAGGGCACGGGTGCGCAGCCCGTAGTTCGTTTGTTTATGTGGTTTGGGAAGGCTAAGGTAGTGAATCTATTGTATGTATGTTTTGTCATGTTCGCTATACACAACAAGAAGAGGGTGTGTGTGTGGGGTCCCGGTTGATGCCTTATTCACGATGTTCATGGGACGCTGGACCCAGTTTCCAGCAGGTGGCGCTCCCATCAATAGACAGAAGAATGTATATGCATGTGTATGTGAGTGTGTGTGTGTGTGTGTGTGTGTGTGTGTGTGTGTGTGTGTG